AGACCAGTTGACGGAATCCCCCCCCGCCCCCCGATCATGAATCCAGACTTGTTGGAGCCCGGCCTTGCAGACTTTGCCCCTTCTTTACACTTGCTCAGAACTGTATTAAATTGCAGTTCATCAGGGTGGAGAGCTGTGTGGCATTAGCCTAGAGGTGCGTTTTTAGACCCTGTGGATTCGCCTCCCACCTGCAAGAATATGCTCCGTTGAAGGAATTAAGGAGCTGCCTCCAAGTGTTCTACTCAAATTTAGTTAGTTGCGCAGATTCAAGCTCAGTGCTTTATTACCCATGGCTTATTCTAGAGGTGGGTTTGTCGTTTTTCGGCTTCAGGCATGCAGCATTGCGACCACTGCTCTTTCTGCTTAGGCAGTTGCGATTGAAAATCCTGAACCCAAAGAGAGCAGATTCAACATCCAGGGTGCAGTGCAGTGTCTCACTGTTGCGGACAAATGGAAACGGATGCTAGCGAGCGGAAGAGTAATAAGCCAAAGGTCCCAGTTTTGTGGTTCAGTAGCCCAGAGAGAGAGAGAGCGCTGTAACTACTGAGTTTCTGCATCGAAGCAAGTGAAGGTGAGATCCATGACTTGAGCAGAGGGTGCTGGAAACCATGAAGAGGAATATTCACAAAACAAACGATTCTATACTCCTCCATGACTTCTCTGTCAGCGAAGGACATTGAAGAATAATGGAATATGGATGGGAACATTGCACTGGTGGCAGTCAGTCAGATAGATCATGAGGGAAACGCATCACCTCTCTCACTGCTCCATTTGCTCGCTCCATTTGTTGTTGTGGCAGCAGTGGCCCCCCTGGACCCAGTCCAACCCCCTCCTTCCTTCCTTTCTTCCTTCCTGTCTCTTCCCCGTTCCCATTGTGTTTGTTGAATCTCCCTTTCTCTTCCTTCCGCAACGTATTGTTCAACATGCAGGATTCAAAGTCAACACATGTGTAGTAGGAAAATAAACAAAGGATTATTTTAACGTGATTGAACGTGCAATAAGTAGACCAAGGTGTTGAGAAATTGCAGTTACATTGAGAAATATACACTCAGTGGAGTTGTTTTTGTTTTATTTATTTATGTTACAATCAAACACACTCACAATTGCAATTTCATCAAATTAAGCACTAAAGTTGCTAAACACTTTGAGGGTTGTTTACAACATACTCTACATATTCACCAAGTTGGCTGTACACAATGTTTCAAGGCATTATCCTGGTTCAAGTTGGAATTTTCACAAGGACTATTATAAATGGTAGACAAAAATACCACACTCCATCCACATGGAAGTTAATCTACTACATTTTTCCTTGTGAAAGGTAACAAGAGAATGATGCCCCTTTTTTTTTTTCTTTTTTTTTTTTCTTTTTTTCTCTTTTCCATCATTGTAGTTGGGACATCAAATTTAATTGTGTAAGAAGCAACAAGAAGTAATAAATTAGAGATGATAAAAATACCAAGATATTTTTTTAATATAAAAATTATTTTGTGAAAACCATTTATATTTCATTTTTTAAAATTGAATGGTTTACTACCTCCATTTTTGGCACTTTTTCATCATATTTAGGATAATTAAAAGAAGAATAAATAAATATAAATTCATAAGATTTTAGTAGACATTGATATTGATAATACTTATCAATCTTTAGTAAAATCTCAAGTAGTTTAAAATTTATTTGTAAGTCAACATAAGAAGATAGATTAGATCTTATTGATCAATAAGATTTATTTACAGTATTTACAGAAAATAATTCTCACATTGAAACTAAATCAGATAAGAAAAACTGTTATGCTTTTCAAATATTGAACAATTTGTATGCCATTTGAGAAAAAGATAAATAATAGTGAAATCTTTGGTGGATGTAATCTCTCTATGAAAATTTGAAAGTAAATCCAAAAACCAAACTTGGATTGGTAAAGCATTGCTTTTTGTGGTTTAATATCTATATGTATACTTTCTATAATTTTTTTATATTATTTGAAATATGTTAATTTGGTAGAACTCTACCTACTTGGTTATTAGAATAAGAATAATTTTCTATAAAAACAAAACTGCAATTGTTTCGAAAATGACAGTGTATTTTTATTATACATATGATTTAGAAGAAGAAAGAATTTAGAATTATTAGAAAATTAAACCGAAATTGCCTTGAAAAAATAGAAGATTTAGAAAAATTGTCAAGATCTCTTCTTGATCAAGATCATATAAAATATTAGATAGAAGTTTACTATCAACAAAATCAAAAGATTAGATTTGCTTCACAATAAAATGTTAAAATATAGTTTTATTGCAATAATAATAATAATAATAAATTATTTTTTTTAAAAAAATTATATTAAAAATTAAAAAATTAATTTTCCTGATGAATTTTATAAAAAATAATAATAAAAATAAACCCTTTATCAAACACTATTTAACCAACTTCTACATGACAAGGCTTTAGGTAAATTCTAAAAATAATATCTTTTGTCAAAAGATTTTTCAAAAACTTCAAAATCATAAAATTATTATGTGATCCAATAAAAAAAAAAAAAAATTAAACTTTTAGTTTTTAGATAGAAAAAAAAGATTTTATGGAATATACAACAAAATCAAGTTAAAAATAATCTAACTCAAATATAAATGAGTAGGACCTAATAAAAACCTACTGGAATAGATTTCTAAATAAAAATTATCAATTTCAATGGCTTAGTGTAAAAAAAACAATTGGGTAATAAAAGAAGTCATGCTATTATAGATGATACATCACAAATGTATTGTATTGAATCTACAGACAATCCAAATTTTTCCTAGGATCTTTTATGTATACAAATTTTGTTTTTGCAATTTCAAGAAATAACTATTTTTAAAAATTATACAAATGTAAAAGTATAAAAAGAATTTAGAATTTAACAACGTGTAGTCCAAGAACTATAAGTTACATTACCTAAGAGCTATGTAAAATATTCTGAAAAATAAAGAAAATATATTTACAGCACAATTAACATTCAAGTATAAAAAAACCAATTTCATTAGGTTGTTGCTATGTAGTCTATGAATATGAAACATTTGGATTCAAGACAATGCAAAATCTTATGATAATACCATATGAGACAACATACACACAAGGAAAATAAATGGGACATAACTTAGATGATTAGGAACATATCTACATATATAGATGAAGGTATAATTACATGAAACTTTAGGATTATACTCAATGAAATCATAGTACACATTCCAATAGCCTTTTAGTCAATATATGGTAAACAATACTTTGTCCATTGAAAACTTTCAACATTTGTGTAACTAATAGACTGTTAAAATATTGGTAGCCCATGTTTCAAACTCCCAATGTTTCAACCCCCATCTAAATTCAAGGCAAGTGATTTTATATATATATATATATATATATATAGATATAACATAAATATAGAATAATCAAACAAGTAATACACTAATCCTAATGCTGATTTCTAAGCACATCAAAAGGCTATAACCAATGTCTGATTCTGACCCATCCATGGAAATTCTGCAATTAGAGCTTATCCTTTTGTTAAGAACCCAAAAGAGTTGGCACTACCATTGATTCTGGGCCCTTTGTTACAAGGTTGAACTACCCTCCATTGAAGGACTTTGGTTTCTCTTCCACTTCATATTTTAATTTTGTTTTGTAGGTTGGCTATATGTTTGTACAAATGTATGTATTTTCTGGAGCTCTACTCCAACTTTCTAAAGTCACTGTAGCTTGGAGCATCAAATGGGAACTCCACTTCATTACCTGGTTGCTCCATATCCTCAAAACACATTCTGGTATGCGCATGAAAGGTTGCCTATTTAATATTATTACCACTGCAACTCACCCCATTTATTATATTCAGGCATGATTTTACATGCTCCACATTTCCCTACAACAAGAAAAAATGTTCAACTGAGTGATCTGTATTTCTTCAGTCCTGCAAGCTGTTTATCACTGAAGTCTGTAGAAAAACAAGCAAAAGCAACAACAAGCACATTTGCAAAGTCCATTTCATACAGATATGCACACAATTACGATTGAGCTTTCTGGAGGGCATTGACCACATGCAAAAGAGACCCTTCACATCTCAGAAAGAAAAGCTCTCTCTCTGTGTGTGTGTAAGTAAGTGTGTATTATCATGCTACCTTTTTTTATTTTATTTATCATATGAATTTGGTGACTTGGGTTGTGAAGCAGGATTGGTGAGGTGTGCGGGCTCTTTACTTCCAATGTGGATTTTGTTACTTTGTGGTAGCAAATTCAATACCACTAGTCATTATCAATCTTGCATGCACGTCTACCAAACAATTTGTACAGTTCTGGCCTGAGACTGGTAACAAGTAACCGTCTCACATGACTAGCTCACACACACACACACAGTACTTGGGAAGAGGGGCTTGCTCACAACTTGGGAAGAGGGGCATGCTCAGGACGGAATTGCCATCCAGTTGAAATAGACCACGACTCCATCTGAATAAACCTGGGTAAAGTCTCCTTTCTGTGGGAAGTCAAGGTATCAGAACATTCTGGGATTTATCACTAGCACTGGATTTATAGCACATGGTTGAAGATGACCCCTAGTTAAGAACCTGCACGGGAAACTTAGCAAAATGCATCAGAGTGATTGATTGATTGAGGGAGGTAGTCGATCGAATATCGAATGGTTTTGGTGGTGAGGTCAGTCAGTAATGGGTTTAATCACTATGTACCTGCGGCTCCTCTGGCGAAACTGATGAATTTGTGGAAGGAGAACCTAATTCTGTGGTGTTGGAGTAGCATCTGCAGAAGAATAGGGAGCAAAAGTTGATGAGAGGAGCTAGGGAGAGCGAGAGTGAGCATTCAAAACAGCGATGACGCGAAATGGGGCCCCCCGTTTGTGCACTTTCCTGGACCTGCTGCTGCCTGAGTGCCATGGTCTCCAGGCTCCAGACTACCCCCACCTTTTTTTTTTTTTTTTTTTTTCTCCCCTTCGACCCTCTTCTTACGCAATTTTAATTCGTCGCCAGTCGTATACTACTTGTCGGGTTACCAACCGTCGCCACAGCTTCCGATCGATCACTCGGCGCGGCTACGCCTTATCTCCGCCGCCAAAATTCCTGCATATGTGCTCGCTTTCGTCCATATATTCTTTCTTTGTTTGTAGCGCACACAATCGAGCGGTCAGTTGGAGGATGAGTGAGTTGTCGAGGTTGCTTGCGTGGGGGTTCTTGTCGTCATCGTCGTTGTTGTTGCTGCTGCCATGCGTTCTGTGCTGAAGATTCTGTCACAGAATTTTAGCAAGGTCTCGACGGCGGCGGCATGCAGCGCTAGCTCAACCTTTGTAACAATTTCGTTGAGGAGTGCTTCAAGCTAGTCTCTCGGATAGAAGTGTTAATATTAGTGTGGTTCCCCGAAAGTTGTGCATTCTGAGTCGGCATGTGTAGGTTTTTCTGAGTTTCTTTGGAAAGTGCTCGAGAATCTTTGTTATTATCACAACTGCCGAGTTGCTAGTGCTTGTTGTTTGTTCGCCCTCTGAGGCCCTTTGAGAGCGAGGTTCCTGGTGAAGGATCATGATCGTAAGTTGCGATGCACAACTGGCGTTTGTGAGAAGTTCTAAGGTTTCTAGTCTGGCTTGTTCCTTTGATGTTTAAAGCCGGTGTCGAAGTGGAGAGATTTTAGAGGTGGAGTTTCCACTGGCCAGAGGTAGTAAGTTTGCCGTAGATTCATATCTTCGGGAGACCTTTGTTATCCTTTAAAGTATTTGTCAGGAGCAGTTGCAAAACACCGAAACACAGACGATAGTGTGCAAATACTAGACCTCTTCTCGCTCGCTTCGAGTAATTTACGAGCATTTGTGGAACCCAGAGGCTGAATTACAACATTTAAGATACAAGGAGTAATTTTGGTACACATACAATTATTAAATGTATTTTTACCGAAAAATTGGGATTTAGATGGCTTGAAGTCGGACTTGCTGTTGAAACTCACTCGAGCTTTGAGGTGTTGGGGATCCAGTCACCACCGATTATGGGAGTAGTGACCACGTGAAAACGGGACGCACGTGGGCCTCGCTTGAAGCAGGCCGTGGTGAAGTTGGCGGGGGGAATAAGCGGGCCTTGTGGATATGTGAATATGTCTTTATAGAATCTTGTCAAGAAGCTTGCTGCTTTGGAAACAGTTACACAAATGCGGAAATCGTTAGAATCAATGGTCACTAAGTTGTCCTTTCCTATTGTCCCACAAATTCTGCTCAGTTGCCCCACAATTCTCTCCTACTCGTCTAAGCCCCCGTCGGCTAACCAGACTGGGGTTTGCCAGAATCATCCCATCTAGCTCAGATTTTTTGCCAGTTACCAACAAGGCGGCGCTCACGCATGCAGTGGTAGGTCAGATAGTGTCGAACTCAGGTCCCACTCGAGAGGGTTTGGGTTTCCCGGTGATAAATTTCCTCAGCGTGTGTTTGGTTTGGTAGTGTGTGAGCTAATTGTAACGTGGAAGCGAGGTTTCATCTGCTAGGTCAAAGAATACTGTGAAAGTCATGGTGATTATGGAAACGGGAGGATCGATATCTCAACTGCAATTACCCCCTGGGTTCCGTTTCCACCCCACCGACGAGGAGCTGGTGTTGCACTACCTTCGCCGAAAAGCGGACTCGCACGTATTCCAGATCCCTGTCATTGCTGAGGTGAATCTGTACAAGTTTGACCCGTGGGATCTGCCTGGTACGCTAGCTCTAGCACATTTGTTCTCTGATCTATCTTGCCGTCTTCTAACATACAATCACGCTTAATCAACATAGGCCTGAATTGCCAAACCTTATGTTTAATGGCAGGGTAGTTATTCCATGCCACAATAGTTGAAATGACACATGCTCGATGTTGGATCGGGCAGATACATGCAAGGAAAATTGTAGGATAATTTGGTCAAGGACCTCTTCTCATGTAGGTGTACATAAAACATTTTGGAAGTTTGTCATTCTCATTCTGAAAAGTTGCTAATGATTCTTTGAAAGAGCGGATTGTTGGTCAAAGGAAAGGAAATTCGGGTGGCTAGTGGGACATGAAATAACATCCTTGTCCTAGACTTGTGATGCACAGATGCATCCTCTCCAAGACAATCTCGACTAACATAGAATGTTTTTCTTTTTTTTCCGGTGCATGTAGACAAGGCTTTGTTCGGGGAGAGAGAATGGTATTTTTTTTCGCCAAGAGACAGAAAGTACCCTAACGGCGCAAGGCCTAACAGAGCAGCCGCGAGTGGCTATTGGAAGGCTACGGGCACAGACAAACCCATCCACATGACCAACGGCCACAGCAAGGTGGGCGTCAAGAAGGCGCTGGTGTTCTACCGAGGCAAGGCCCCCAAGGGCGAGAAAACCAACTGGATCATGCACGAGTATCGCCTTGCTGAAGGGGTGTCGCCCTCTGCTCACCATCACCGCCGCGGCTCCTTGCGGGTATGTATAGCGTACATCTCACTCAACATCAGGAGTAAACCTGTCGATCATGCTAGTTGCCTATGATTCCTGAATCGATATATGTTGCCTGTGGACCAGCGAATGACGCCCGTCTAATTTTGTGGCTGCAGCTGGACGATTGGGTGTTGTGCCGCATTTACGAGAAATGCACGCACGCGCAAAGAGCTGGTAAGGAGCACGATCGAGCCAGCGTCGAGGATGTGTTGGCGTCGCTCCCCGAAATCGACGACCCCAATCACATGCTCCCCCGACTGAATTCGATGGGCATGATGGAGTCGGCACAGCAGCAAGCCCTTGTGGACAGCATGCTGACGAAGGGCCCATCCGATGACGGTTGCAGTCTGTCGGTCAGCATTGACAGCCTCCAGAGAGGGATGATATCGAGCAATCCAGATGTTGCGGCACACGAACTACAGACCAGCACTTTGACGAATGAATGGAAAATGCAAGTGTCCTTGGACTCCACCCCCAACCACCTCATCGGATACGATTTTCAGAACGAGCTCGGGTCGGTATCCTCTGCCATGAGGCCAACCCTAAACATTCGACCCTCCATGGCCGGTAGCGCCATGACCCACTTCCAAAACCCGCAGCGATCTAGCAACAATATCGGTGCTCGGATGGTCGCGAGGTCCATGCCAGTGCCGCCAGGCCGCGCGGCATCTGACGAGGAAGTCCAAAGCACGTTACGGTCATCCACCACGCGGTTCGGAAATGGTAACGAGGGACTGGAATCCATGTTTCCGACAATGGGGAATTTCGATCAGCAGGCTCAGTCTACATCACCCTACACAAGGAACACCATGGCATACAACCTCCCCTATGGCCATGGTTCCTTGGGCACCTTCAACTGACGCTCACGACTACACTAAGTGATGGCCGCAAGATGCCATGACGTGCGCCATAGTGGTTGCAACGAGCAGATTGTAAGCTCCTGCTCCAGTGCTTGCAAGTGCGGTAAATTCACTGAGCGTCGAGCAGTCATATGGGTATCAACAGTGAGTGATTGATTGATTTCAGCACAAATGGTAGCTCTTAAAGCCTGATGCTCGGAACACTACCTAGAGGACTGCAGGAGTGTCCGAGTGGTGCTTTTGTTTACATTGTAAGTATTACTGTATAACTCCAGGATTGAAGATCAATTAGGGGGCGAGAAGTTAACAAGTACAACTCCTTCACACAAGTCAATTACAACACACACGCATACGAACCACGATCACATACATTGAAGTTCGGTACGATCCATGTGTAGAAAAAAGCTTTTAGTTCTTGTGGCGTAAGAGAAATCGACAGCTTAGTCATACGTACAATCGACCCTTGCGTACATACAATATATATACATATATATATGTATGTATGTATTCATATATGTATAGATAGATATGTGTAAAGCATCAGTGCCTATCGTTAAGGGTGGGGACTAGAAATGGTCTTTGTTTTTTTAGTTGTAAAGCTGGTGAACTGTGGTAGTCGATGGCGAACGTCGTCTAGCTACCTCTTCATCTGTAATTCATCCCTTGATGGTGTACTTCTTGGAACTTCAAAGTGGGTGCACCAAAGTCTGATTCTTTTACAATAAAGAATCCTGCACTACTCAGACAGTAATTACTTCTTTTTTCTGACGGCTTATTTCCAACATGAATCTGAACTGCCTGCTATTGGAAGGAAGCTGGAGGTACCACAAATTTGTCAACCGTGATGACCAATCCCATCCCCAACATGTTCAGAAGTACGTATTCAACGTGTGAACAAATCGACCATACTTTTTGCCTACGCTTCACAGAGAGTTGGATACTCAGTTACAGTGGAGTCCATCCAGGAAACCCATTCAGCCATTCCAGTTCTGAACTTAAGAGGAACGATGGTTGAATGTTGAAGGGCTGGATGACGATCTGTTGTTGCTCTGGAGTGCTAGTTACAAATGTTGCACTCAGCTGATGGTTGCCCATCCGACGAGTTTTCGGATATGCTGAGAATTTAAAGCATGGTACTAAACCCACAGTTTGGAGCTGCATTCGTTCTTAAGATTGTTTTAATGTTGACGGATCCATGGCCTCCAGAATCCAAGTCTGCAGCACCGACCCCGACGATGGATCAGTTCAAGAGCTGTAAGCGTGTCACCATTTTTTCATTGCCTCCGCCACTCAGCACAGACGTTGTGAAGCTCTCGACGAAGAATTCCCCAACGACACAAGGGCTGGTTGGCGGCGTCAGACGTTCTACTCCCTGCTTCCTTTCCGGTGTCTGCATAGAACTCGCCTGTTGTCGGATGCGCTTTGCCTCGCTCAATTCATTAGCATTGAAGTTGGTGTTGTCGGTAGCAGTGAAGGCCGTGCCGTTGACTAACGGTATTTGTTCGAGTTGATCACCTCTCTGCTGCTCATGTTAATCGACTTCGACGGCTTCATCTCGCATCCCATCTTCCAGCAGAAATTTACAAACCTTGTTCATTTGACAGGGATTGTTCGAAGACGAACTCAACAGTCAGGTTTTTTGTACCCGTGGAGTCCTCTTTTCCCTCTTTCCGAATGAGTTTCAGGGTGGAGGGTTTCTTCCATGGCAGTGATGAATACCTCGTGGGACAATTGAAGCAAAATTTGTAGGTAGATGACGGTTTGCCAGTATTGGTGACATTCTCGTTATCTTCCATCTCCTTTCCTCTTTCCATATTTGACCTTACTGGATCCTCGAATACAAAACCATTATTTTGGGGGGGATAGGTTTGAATCTACGAATGCCACCGCAAATTGGACAAATCCTGGTTGGAGAAGACTCTCCTCTTAGCACGATCTGGCTTCGCAGACCCAAAATGGATTAGAAGTGCGATTTCACAACATTCGAGAGTCAGAAATCAGACGCACTAGACCTGCTGACTGATTCCCATGAAATGCCTTATAAGGATTCCGGTAGTGTGCAGGTTCGAGCTTTTCTACATGTGACGTGTATATCAGATATACTCACAAAATTGAGGAACTGAAAATTGCTGGGCATAGATTTACCGACAAATTCCCAAAACGTCATCTGTTAAGTCGATGTCAACAGGAGTTCCGCAATTCAAGCCTCTTATCATGCGTCCACACAATTATTATTTTATTTTGTTATTAATTTATTATTGTTTCTTTTAGTGCTCATCCACACGATGGTCTCGAATAGAAAGTAGAATGCAAATGGGGCTGCTCCTTTTTTCTGATCAGAACTAAGTTTATTGCACGTTTGAGAGACATGCTGAGCTCCTTCCCCTTTGGGAGTTGGCTCACACCCCCTGGAATTCCTCTTTGCCATGTCGAAGTCATACAAGTTGGTAATACTGGCAACCAGAACAATAATATTCCTGAAATACTTGGCTTCATACTATTCTAGTGATACAGTGGATGCTCTTGCTCGTCTCAAATTACTTTGTGGGGCCTTGAGATTATCAGCTATTTCATATATATATATATATATATATATATGTATATATATGTGTGTGTGTGTGTGTATGTGTGTGTAAAATACTTTCTCCTCTCATTGTAGTCTCTGCTCTCCAACAAGTTTGTTTTTGAAGAGAGGGTTTCTTGTCAGAGAAAAACGATGAAAAAATAAAAAATAAAAAAAATCATTGCTTTTTCAAAACGAAACACTTTCATTATTTTATTGATTTTTCTTTTATTAATTAGAGTAGTAATTAAAAATTTGCGTAATTTCCGAAAAATGCAATATTAATTATAGTCCATATGAGGTTTAAAGACAATTTATTTGAAGCATAAAAAGTTCTTGCAATGTAAAGTGGAAAAGTAATTGGAATATATATCAACTCTTTTGATGCTCAATGGCACAGGTATATATTGATGCTTTATATAGTAAGGAACAATAGTTAGGTTGAATATGATGAACTCACAAATCAACACATAAATGATTCCAAAATTGTATGTTTCTTTATCTTCTTCTTATTATTATTATTATTATTATTTTGTATTAAGTTGTTTTAATTGTTATACAATGCACAATATAAGTGTAGAAGGATTTTATTTTTGAAAAATTATTTTTTGTACACTAGTTAAATATGCTACAAGGAAACTCATTTATTTATAATACCTGGAGCAACCATACTTGGAGATAGTAACATAACAACTACAATCACAGGATAGCAGTAATAAGACTTCACTCTCAAGCCTTTTTTTGGTGGTGTATGAAACATTGGATATTGCATTTGTATATGCTGTAAAAGTTTTAAGAAATAGATTTTATAAATCAGAATAAAAAAATAGTGAAGATATCAAAATATTTACATACACACACACACACACACACGTATATATATATATATATATATATATATATCAAATGGAAATGATATACATATATATTAAAAAGTAGAAGATTTTGTGAAAACTTCAACATTTCTAAAGAAGATTGTTCATTTTTATTTAATTTTTGGATAAATATGCTTAAAATGTATCTCTGCATGAATTTCAAATCAGGAGCCTTTATTAGTCTTGTTAATGTAACTTGTGTTATCTTTTGCATTTTATTTGTGTTTTTTGATGAAATATTGCTTACATATATGCCCACATGTAAACACACTGCAATAAAATGTAATTTTTATTCAGGATTTTAATTGTTTTGTAATTTATGTTTTTTTCATATAATTTTACAGTGAATGTTTGATTTGAGAATGCTAAAAAAACTATTGTATACAACATAACTCAATTTAAAAATCTAGATTATAATCAAAATTTAGTAATCATATTTCAAAATCTGTAAGGTTAGAATCCGCAAAATGCTTAAAGCCACCTTTTTTAATATTTATTTATTTAATTATTATAAAAAATATATGATAAACAAACACTCAAAATATCTATAAATTATTATGTTTTACAATCACAAAAAAATTATCTTGTGTATTAAGAATTGTCATTGTGTATTAAGAATATAATTGTCTACAATCTTAAATGCAAGAGATAAATATAACATTATATGTCATAAATTGATTGTCTTTGCCTATTTTGTGTAAAATATTGTATTTTATTCCAACAGAAAATCAATATTGTCCAGTGTATAAAATAGGTTATTTTTCTTTAAAAAATTGAGGATAAAAATATTTCTTGACAACTTATTGGATATGCCGAAAACATAATTGGTTTATTATTTATTTTTTAAGTATTAGATCACATGTGAATCTAATATTTAGAAATTTAATTTAAAAAGGCACACATTTATAATTTATTGTTGTTCCTGTTGTTTTTGTTATTTATTTATTTATTTATTATTTAATTTAAATATAATTTATTTAAATACATTTATTCTTAGAAAATAATAAATTTTTAATACTAAAAATTAATTTTTATTATGTGATAGACTATAATTTTTTATTTTAAAAAATAAGAAAATATCAAATGTTAATAAGAATAATATAATACATAGTTTTATTTTTTTATATATAAATTATCATAATAAATAAATAAATTTATACATACATACATACATAGATACAAGTAAGTTTAACATTGCCTTATCTTAAAGCACTAACTTGTATAAAAGAATATTTTGAGTATCTTTTGTACATTGTTACATTTTTATCTTTGGAGAATTTTCATATAAATTTCTCAAATATACTGAAATATCAAGAATATCCTTATATTTTTTATAATAGCAAATGCACCCCTTGTATACAGCAAGAAGTCATCATGAGGAGTACATTTGCTATTATTAAGAATGCAAGGATATTCTTAATATTTTAGTATATTTGAGGGATATATATGAAAATTTTCCTTGAATTAAAATTTTAGTAATAATGATTTTAAAAAAAGAAGAATTTTAAATTATACTTTTATAAGAATCATGCAATTTTTATTCTATAATTATTTAAAAATTTAAAACAATGGATTTTGAGTTGAGAAAAGTGTTACAACAATGTTAGAATGGTTTCTGTTCAAAAGTTTTTTCTGAAAAATCATAGAGGTCTTGAAAGAACTTCAAAGATTTCATTTTAGATTGAGATTTTGCATGATGCATGTATCTATGTATGCATAATGTAAGCATGTATCACTAGAGGTACACTAGATATTGCCATACTAATGTGGTGTGAACTCTCACATTCTTGTGGCTTCGAATTTCAACTTGTTTAGTATCAAAAGTCTCATAATATTTGTTATAGAACTTGACTAATTGTCAAATGTTTCACTAATTAAGCCACAAGACCAAGAGGAAATTCCAAAGTTCAACATATGTGAAAGAATAACATACAAAAAAAGATTTTGGTATAATTTTCAATTAAATTTCAAAAATTATGAATTGTAATATAGATTCTTTTAGCTTCATTTTATATCTTTAAATGTGTATGATATAAAATCCTAAAAATAATAAAAAAAATATGAAAATTATCATTATACTTTTTAATACTATACTTAATTTCTTTGGATTATATAATGGTTAAATAAATTTTAAAAATTAAAAACAAAGAATCTTTTATTACAATTATTTTTTTTTTGTTTTTTTTGTTTTTTTTCAATTTTTTAAAAAAGTATTTAAGAAATTTCAAGTTATTACTTTTTTTTTCAAAACAAATCTTAAAAATTTTATTAAAAAAATATATTATAGTTGAAATACATGTACTTATATTTGAACTTCTAGTTGAAAAAAT